TTKKTTWWCCWGYAATGTTATATTATRCAGCAAAATAATAATTSTATTTCAATATATTTGTTTTTATGTTGACAAATATTTGTACAATAAACATACATTTCATTATAAATTAAAAATAATAGTTACAAACAATCTTCTAATAAAAAATAAAAAATCATAATTATATTACATAGACCGGTATTAAATTTAATAAGTTCAATATGTCAAATAAAAATGTTCCATATACAAGAAAAAGTTAATAAATATATTTAATTATATTATATTATATTTAAACATAAAATTAAAATACCACAACATTTAAACTCAATAATTTTAAAAAAAATAATTCTATTTAATTAACAAAAAAAAACGTGCCTTGCACGCGGTATATTGCTAGTATATTAAAGAGTACATATGTGGAAGAAAGATTTTTTGGACAATATTGACCCTTATTTTTTTTTTCTTTTTTTGTAATACTAAAATTATTTATCCCTCTCTCTCCTCTCTTCTACGTGAGACTCTCCATCTTTTCTCATTTATATCTCCCTTATTTAATTATAATTTTCTTTCTCTCATTAACTTGTTTTTTTAAAACTTCTCTCTCCTTAACTTTTGATTCTCTTTACCCAACCATCTAAATTCTTGAAACATTGTTAATTCAGTTAACAATTTATTAATAATTAATATGATAGATTTAAAATATTATTTTCTAACACAGTTAGATTTTAAATTCAGTTTTGTCTTTCATTATTTATTGGTTTAAATTATAAGAGAAAATTTAAATATTATTCTATGATGTAATAACTTATCTTTGAAATATTATTTTACAATAACAAAAAATAAATTAATAATTAATAAATAAAAATTAATATAGATCAAAATTGACAAAATATATAATTAAGAAGTAAAATACGAGAATATCTATATTTTTAAATTGAAATATTAAAAATCAATTTAAAGTTTTGTAAGATTTAACATAAACAAATTATGAATACTGAACATTTTGTTTTGGAGAGCAAAAATTTAAATATTATTCTATTATGTAATAATTTGTCTTTGAAATATTATTTTACAATAATAATGAAAAAAATTAAATTGAAAATTAACAAATAAAAATTTTATATATCAAAGTTGACGAAAAATATATTATTAAGAAGTAAAGTATGAGAATATTCGTGTTTTTAAATTGAGATATTAAAAATTTCCTAAGGTTAACCTAAACAAATGATAAATATTGAAAAAAAATTTTAGGGAACAAAATTTAAATGCACTACAAAGTGGATTAAATGAATGAAGCATAAGAATATCAAAAGTTCTGCCTTTATGTATATAAATTAATTTTAAAATTAAATTTTTTACATTTAATTAGATTTAATGGTGGAATATGAAAAATGTTAGAATTTCAAAGGTTTTTGTAACTTTTCTACTTCCTACGACTATAAAAGTGGTTCTCTTCCTCCTCATTTTCACACTAATTTGTTCTTTTTTTATACAAATTTTTTTCTCTTTAGTTCATCGTGGTTTCTAGATTTAGTGATAGAATACTAACATTTTCAATATTATTTTTTATGTTGTAGAGCGACGATCTCAAACATCGGTAAGAAGTAAGTATATTTTATGAAAATATAGAATACTCGCCTTGATTTTGTTCTTAAATATTGCTATTTTTAAGTTTGGATTGTTTTGTAATTAATTTTAATATTATTATTTTTTATTTAAATATTGAAAAAAAAATTTAAGGAACAAAATTTAAATGCACCACAAAGTGGATTAAATGAATGAAACGTGAAAGGTTAAGAATATTAAAAGTTTTGCCTTTATTTATATAAATTAATTTTAAAATTAAATTTTTTACATTTAATTAGGTTGAATGATGGAATATGAAAAGTGTTAGAATCTCAAGGGTTTTTGTAACTTTTCTACTTCCTGCTACTATAAAAGTGGTTCTCTTACTCCTCACATTTTTACACTAATTTCTATTTTTTTATACATATTTTTTTCTTTTTAGTTCATCGTGGTTTCTAGATTTAGTGATAGAATACTAACATTTCTAATATTCTTTTTTATGTTGTAGAGCGGCGTTGTTTAGCGTCATTGTGTGTATCTTGCAAGCATTTGTCAATTTGATCTCAAGCATCGGTAAGAAGTAAATATACTTTATAAAAATATAGGATAATCGCCTTGATTTTGTTATTAAATAATGTTATTTTTAAGTTTGGAATATTTTATAGTTAATTTTAATATCGTTTTTTTATTTTAAATATTTTACATATTTAAAAATTGTTAGATTGTTTGTTTTATTTAAATACGATAGGATTAATCTTTGATTTTCTCATATACATGAAGAAAAAATAACAATCCTATCATTTTATTTTACTAGTTAATATCACGTGCAATGCACGTGGTTTTAAATATTTTAATATAATATCTCTAACATAGAAGAATAACAACTAAACCCAATACAGTATTCCAACTAAAAAATAAGACAATAAAATAAGATGTGTAGAAAACATTGAATATGATATACATTTGAAATAATAGATGTGGTTATCAACTTTTAATTAAAAATATTTTATAAATTTAAAAATAAGCAAATTTAAGACATGATACATTAAATCAAATTATGTAACTAAAAATCCAAACCATGAAATTATTTGTTAGATAGTGAAAATTATAATAGGAATAAATAAAATTGTCTGTTTATTACTCTTAAGCTACTTTTTAAAATTGAAAATTGACAAATCAAATATCATTTTTTTTATTTTTAAAATGATAAATATAAATGATACTGCATCTTTTAAATATAAAATAAAATGAAATGAAAGAATTGAAATTTGAGAAAGAAATTCGATAATGTATACTGCCATGAAATCATTTAAAAAATGTGGGATAAAGAATCACACGATCAAGAAAAATAAAATAATAACTACACCAATTAAAAAGATATATTAAGATAAATAGGGAAACTAATACTAAAATATAACATGAATATATTTTAAAACTTGAAAAAAGATTAATTGGATATTAAGTTGAAAAGGTGTAAAAAAAAGTTAAAACTTGAAAACAATCTTAACTAAATATTAAAACACGAAATATCATGAATATATATAATTTAAAATAATGTAAATAAAAAGATTAAAATAATTGAAAAAAAAAACTAAAAGTTAAAAATAACAGGAATATATAATTTTATACTCTACCTATTAAATATATTTTTGAATTAAGATACTATTACAAAATTAAGAAATATAAACGTACAATCTAAGAGTAGTTAAGATAACAGCAACCACCCACGTCAATGTAGGAAACAGTAGATACTCAAAATATGATGTACAAAATTAACATTAATTTAGAAATCCAACAATTAAATTTAATAAATACATTTTTTTTTTAAATCTCAGCATTCGTGACCAATAAAGATGGACGGTTTTTCAGTGACGAAATAGACGAAATAGACAAAATCATGGGAACAACTTAGATGAACTTGTAGTCTCCTTGGAGGGAAGCATTGTCTTAAAACTGCTATGATGAATTGCAAGATTAGAAAAAAGGTATGTGTTATATAGTCAATTTTTCTATCTATTCTTAAATTTATCTTGGATTTTACAGTTAAATGGGGGAATGAAGAAGGAAGATGCTTGGCCATGAAAGTGTATTGTCATGCTTATTCCTCTTTTAGGTAAAAGAATATATAAACATGAAATAAAAAAATCCAAAAGATCATGAAAACAACAAGGGGATAAAAACAAATATTAAATATAATTTTATAGGGATCCAAGAAAAATAATTAAAGATAAAACAACAATCACACCATGTCAATTTATAAAAAATAATACTCAAAATATGATAACAGTACAATAATTCACAGAAATTTATAAAAGATAACGTTCAGAATTCACATCAATTTTTATGATTTACCTCTACATCAGCTAAAATTAATTTTTGTATTCGCAAATCTTGATTTTGGCCTACTTTAATGTTTCCCTACGAAGAACAAAAACTTTTAATTTCCACCTCTTTTGGAAATGTATGAGTTGTTTGATAAAAGAAGAGATTTTTGTAGACATTTTGGAAGAAAGAAGATATGAGTTTTTAATTTACACTCTTTTCTTTTATAAATGGTTTGTAAAGGAAGATTGATACATTTTCATCAACGGACGCACTGCTTCTATAAATGGTTGAAGAACAGCTGCTTCTCTAAACAGACACCTCATTCAAATAATAGCATCACGTAGAAGAGGTACATGGAAGAAATATAATATAAATGAAGGGTAAATTTGGTATATCTTAAAAAGTTGGAGGTAAAGATTCTCATCCTCCATAATCCCATTTAGATATAGTATAGATGATGCACTTTCAACGAACATTAAATAATATTTTTTACGAATACAAATATACCATTATCTAAAGTTATTTTATTTAAAATAAAAAGTTAAAAGTAACATGTATCTTCATAATTTTGTTTGAAAGTAAATTTTATTGTTAGACACACAATAATAACATTTTTAACGCCAACCAGAACATAGCTAATCAGCAATTAATGCACGTTTATCCAACTATGAGATTGTTGTAAATATATATAAATTAATTTATTCAATCAAATAGTGAGCTATTTATTTTAATAAATGTTACTAAATTTAAAAAAAATAATTATCAAAATACATAGAAAAATCACTTAATATTGATATATAATTTATTTTGTTATAAATAAAAATGATTGTAGCATTTTGATAGATTCATAATTTTTTTATAACTTAAACTAATATTAATATGTGATGCGATAAAATTAAAATACTAAATTACTAGTGTAAGAAAATGCGTCCAAATTCAATACTAAAATCTTCGCACTCTACTAAACAATACAACCTAATCATAAAACTTAATTCATCAAAAAAAAAAAAATTCTAGCCACAAGAATCAACGCTATAACCAGTCATTGAAAAAGAAAAAAATATATTCAATGATTAAGGGCATTAATGTCTTCCACAAATTTTATAGTTCAATTTGATGAAATTATAATTTAAAGGTGGACAAGAAACTCAACCTGCAATAATCCAAAATTGTGTATACACGTCAAAGCAAACATAGCTTAGCGGCAACCAAGAGGTTGTGAGTTCAATCTCCACCCTACATAGTGTACTAAAAAAAATTATGTATACACAAGAATCAACTGAAATTTGAAAAAGAAATAAATCTAATGAGTTCATGTTTAGTTTAGACTGGGAATTTTTTTTACCCTTTAATTTCTGTGAATTGCTAGTTGGCTACCAACAAATTGCTTGCATAAGTCTCACAACAAAAAAAAAACGAACAAATTGCTTTCCTATTCATAAAACCAACCATTTTAGGTCGCTGCCTTTAGAAAAAAAAAACTTTTTGACCTCATGACAAAATTAAAGGGCATTAAATCAACTTTTGTCATTTGGTCAAATTTTTTCTTAAGGCATAAGAAATAAATTAAAAAAAAATACTATCAATTTACCTTTTTTTTAATTTGACCAGTGCGAGATACAAGATTAAACATTCAACCCTAGATCGTTTATCTACCGAGTTACATAGATAAATTTATCATAACTCATCAAATTAAGTTTTTGGTTCTAGTGGTGATTTAACAAATATTGCAATTGGTAAAACATTTTGTGTAGTTGTCATCGTGTAAAATCAAAGTATCATGCATCAAAAAGCCGCCCAGCCACATGGGTCAGGTAAGTGAAAAAACTCGGAATGATCGAGCGCACTAAGTAAACGCCAAGCACATTATCAATAGGGTTGAGCGCACCTGAACACACCATATAGAAGACAATTAGTGGGGAAGGTGCTGACACTCTGTACCCAAATCACAATGTGCCTCAGAGAACCACCCAAAACGTTGCTAGCCTCCTACCCCTGACATAAATAATGGAAGCAGAAAATGTTGGTGGCCGATAGACCCTAGGCGCGATAGAGTGCACTCTTGTGAATAACTTTACTAAGGCAAAACCCTATTCTCACTCTCTCTCTCCATATATAAGGAAAAGAACTACCCTAATGAAGGTAGGTCACATTTCTCTACACAATTTTTTTTTGAGAATTTGACACACTCTCAAGACTTTCACCTTCCAGGATACTGTCTTTTTACTATTTCTACTTCATACCCGTTTGTTCCCTCCTTCAGTTCTAACTTAAGCCTCAGAGTACACTCGATAGAGCACCTCACCGATATTAGATTTCTAAAGACGAACCTACATAGGCCTCACCCAGAGATGAGCATCATGGTAGCAATTTCTTTTTCAGTATTTTAAAAATAAAATGATCCTGGTTCAATTTTTTATTTTTAAAAATGAAGCTTGGTTGCTCATTAATTTTTTTCCCAAAATATTTTGAATTCCTAGCTAAATAATATATACGTATATAATTTCTTTTAATTGTGAATGATTGAAGATCTTAAAAATATTTGAAGAGCAAAAGCACTTTTATCTATTTTAAAACCACATTCAACTTGCTATAATTCTAAATTTTGATATACGTATTGAAGATATTACCAAAATAGTTGCCTTTTCATTTAATTCAAATATTAAAATAAAAATTTTGAAAATTTAGAGATCATGATCGAACTAATTTAAAAATTTAGAAATTAAAATAAAAATTTTAAAAGTTTAAAGACAAAGAGGGACTCAAAGTTTACGAAATAAAATGATATTCAAACAAAAGAAAATTATTAAAAAAAAGAAGAAAAAAGGTAGATGATAACGATGTTTCTAAAATTTCATTCTTTTATAAAAATTTGAAAATTAACCATTTTTAGTACAACAAGTAGGATGAAATGATTCGAATTCATAACCTGGCATTTGTTAATTATCGCTAAACTCCGGAGAAAGAAAAGTATTCCAATGATTTTAATTGCATTATATGAAATATTAATTGTAACAAACTTTATTATATATATTTTTCTCCACATTTGAATATGGGTTCGCAGAAATTGACCAATGGAATCAACACGTGTCGATACCGGTGGCTGGTCGGCGACTGGCGGTGGACTAATCAATCAAACCGCGTGAGATGCCGGAGATTATTCCACGGCGGCTGCATAGCCCTCCCCTTCCCTCCACATTTCAAGTCCAACCTTATATACACGCCATTCACACATAATTTCCACATCTTTAAATTTCTTCCTAACTATTTCCTTTCGTATATATATTCATATAGCTTAGAAATCAATAAATAATTACATTTTAATTTAAAAGATACATTATTTAGAGCATGGTTGAATTTGGTTTAGCACGAAGGTGATTGGGTCAAAACCCTGTGGATTTAATAAGTAATATTAATTTTAAATTTTAAATAATGTTTATCATATAAACTAAATATACAAGAGACACGTCCAAATTTTGAGGTAATTCTAAATTTGATCCGTGTTCAATTTTTATCTTTAATTAAGTCATTCAATGAAAAACTTGTTAATAAAAATTGTATTAGTAAGTTAAGGTTATATTAACATATCTTAACACATGAATATACCAGACATAAAATTCAACCCATTTGTTAAAAAATTCAACCCATCAATCAACTTCCAGATGGATTGTCAAGTGACATGTTCATGTGTCTAAATATGTAATTATAATAATATTTTAATGATACATTAGTATTTTGTTAATAAATTTTAACATTTTTTTAATTAAAAATCTAATTGAGAATTTTTAATACATTAGAAATAAAATTGAAGATTTTGAAAAATTAAGAACCAAATAATAATTAACTCAAACATTAGGGAGCATTTGATAATATTAATCATATACTTTGAAAAATTAAGAACCAAAATAATAATTAACTCACAAATTAGGGAGCATTTGATAATATTCATCATATATATCATTTAGAAAGTTACTAGTCAAAGATATGTGAACTTCCTTTTTCACAATTTAAAAAAATTGAAATTGAGATAGCTCCAATGATCACAGGTATTTAAAATGAAAGTATTTATCTAAATAGTATAAAATGAAGGTGTATTTTCAAATATATAAAGTTTGAAATTTTACTAAAATAACGCAGTACAATTCAAACTTTAACTCAAATCTAATATAAAATATATCAAGAAAAATCAATTTTATGTTATATTTAAAAAAATAAAAATTGTGCTGTTTTTAAAAATACAATAAAATTTATGTTATATAGTATAATTTAAATTTGATTGTTGATGTTTGAAATATAGGGTTCTTACTATCTTCGATGAAAATAACACGATGAAAATTTTAACTTAAAAAAGTTGTTATGTCCTAATCAATTGAATCATATAACTTGAGTATAACTCAATTGGATTAGGCATCGACCAAAAAGTCTCGTGAGTTCAAATCCCCTACTCTATATGTTGTACTAAAAAAATATGATATTATAATAAAGTTTTCAATAAAAAAAATCAATTTATAATCTAATCCCAATCCCATGACTTAAATCAACCGGTAGGGTGGGCCGATCGTCTTCTGTCCTCTCCTCTTGCGCACCTTGAAAACTGAGATCTATTATCATTGTATTACCTGTCCTGGAACTGCTATTTGAGTTATGATCCTATGATTATGTTGGCTGAGATTTGTTTTTTTATTTACTTTTCTTTCTTCTTGTTTTCAATGTTGTGTCTTAATCTCGGGCTCAGATCCTCCTTTTATGTTTAATATATTTCGAAAAAATATAACTAACCTAATCTCATGTTGGCAAATCTATTAAGTATTTTAAGCCTAGTAAACTCCAAAAGACATATCAAATATAATTACAAAAACTCAAATAATAAACTTTTATACACACACAGATATATATATATATTTATTTATTTATTTTTTATTTTATAAAAAAAAAGACTAAACTTATAATTTAATCTATAATTAATTAAATGTGTTTTTTTTAAGTAAAAATTAAATGTGTTTTATTATTATTTCGCCCACCCTCAAATTCAACACAGGTAGAAGAAAAAAAGTCCATATATTTAAGCTCGGAAAAGGAATTAAAACCAAACTTCTCCGTCACCCACATCGTTCATTAAGCTCCCTCTCCCTCCGCCGTTCCCTGTGTTTCTCCGCCGTCCTCTGTCTCTCTCCGCCGCCGTCGGGCAAATTTCCCGGCCTGGGTTTCAAAGTTCCGTCAAAATGAAGAGCCAGATTCAGATCCCGAAGCTGATCCACGTCCATGTGAGCCTCTTCAGCTTCGTCCCGTACCTCCTCATCTTCGCCTGCGGAATCACCCTCGGATTCCTCCTCACTTCTTACCCCACCGGCTTAACCATCAGTTTACGCCTGACCCAGCCCCCCAATTTTGCTCCGGCGACCGGCTCTTGGGGTCCCCGGCGGGTGGGTCTGGCGGAATATCTGAAGCCGCCGGAAGTAATGCACGACATGGAGGAGGAGGAGGTTCTGTGGAGGGCGTCGATGGCGGCCGGAATCCGGAAGTTCCCGTTCCGGCGCGTGCCGAAGGTGGCGTTCATGTTCTTGACGCGAGGGCCGGTGTACTTGGCCCCGCTTTGGGAAGAGTTTTTCAGGGGAAATGAAGGGCTTTACTCTGTTTATGTCCACTCTGATCCTTCTTATAATCGCTCCTTCCCGGAATCCCCTGTTTTCCATGGCCGCAGAATTCCCAGCCAGGTAATTCTTGTTACTTTCCAATTCCATCACTTAATTCGTAAGATTATTGATGTTCTGTAACTTTCAATCATGGTTCTAGATTTCGATTCTGCTTCGTCTCTAATTTCTGTTAATGAATAGAGTGTTGATAGGTGTAAATTTTCGATTTTGATTGTGCGGGTGATGAGGTAATTTGAAAACATTGATAATTATAGATTTTCATGCTTTTCAATTTGTAATTAGCTCGATTTTTTTTCCTCATTGATTAAAATATTAGTTCAATCCTAAAATTAATTGGTGGAGTAGCCATATATATTTAAACTCGTATCTTTTTCAATGTAAAATCTTAACAAGAATAAACCACTAGAGAGTAGTTCAACCTGTCAAAAATGAGTTTATGCTAATGATTATGCTGTCAAAAAATCCATGTGATCGTGTTTGTTCATTCGTAAATTTAACTTACCAAAATTACTAAATTCGTAAAAAAATATTATAGAATAAAGGAGCTTCATTCCTATAAAAAAAATTAATAATAATAAAGGATATTCATTGAAAGTATTTTAAAAAAAATATTCAATATTGAAGTTTTTGAATTTTTAACAAATATAGAATAAAGATCAGTTTAACTTTTGAATGGTAGATGGTACGAAGGTAGGACAATAACTAATTATATACTAATTAACATCAAAACATTGTTTAATCATTGCAGAAAGTCGGGTGGGGGAAGGTGAACATGGTCGAGGCGGAGCGTCGACTACTAGCGAATGCACTTCTCGACATTTCGAACGAACGATTTGTTCTCCTCTCGGAAGCTTGCATTCCTCTCTTCAACTTCTCTACAGTCTACTCCTTCCTGATCAACTCCACCATGAAAAGCTTCATCATGAGCTACGACGAGCCGGGTCAAGTCGGACGTGGCCGATACAGGAAGCAAATGTTCCCGCCGATAGCCCTCCAACAATGGCGGAAAGGGTCGCAGTGGTTCGAGATGGACCGAGACACCGCCATTGCCGTAGTCTCCGACCGGAAATATTTCCCCGTCTTCCAGAAGTACTGCAAAGGCCAGTGTTACTCCGACGAGCATTACCTGCCGACTTTGGTCAACGTTTATGGCTGGGTAAGGAACGCCAATCGGAGTTTGACTTGGGTTGACTGGTCAAAGGGTGGCCCACATCCAGTGAGATTTTCGCGATCAGACATCCACGTGGAGCTCTTTCAGAGGCTAAGGAACCAAACCAGCGAGTGTATGAAAAGTAAAAAGGAAGGGACAGGTGTCTGCTTCCTATTCGCCAGAAAGTTTGCTCCAAACACTTTGGAGAGGTTGATGAAGATTGCACCAAAAGCCATGCACTTTGGCAGATTGATAGATTAAAGAATTTTTTAATTGATTATTTGATTTTTTTAACAAGTATATATGTATGAAAGCATTCATGTACAATTTTGATTCTTTTAGCTAAAAAAAATCTGTCTTTTTTTTCTTCATGTAATTCCCTTAGGATGTTTTTAAAATTTTTGTCCAATTATACATTTTTTATTTTTGAGATTTGGCAAAAGAATTCAAATATTTTTAAAACCATGGAAGATCATAAAATAAAGAAATTAAATATGGGACAATAATAAAAACGTAAAATCTTATGGTACATAACTCAACAGAAAACAACTTTATATAAAAACATAATTAAGAAAAATATTAGTACAGAATAAAAGACCGGGCACTTTCTTAAAAAAAAAAAGACCTTCTTTTCAGAAAAAAATAAATAAATAAAATAAACAGGACCTTAATACTAAAAAAATAATAATAAGAAAATGAGGCAACATGATATACAGCAAACATTTTTTTTCTCCTTTTTAAAAAAGAACACAGAAATGTGTTAAAAACACAACATAGTATACCTAAAATTCTAATAAAAATAAAGAACATAGAAAATAATCAAAATATTAAGAGTGTATTTGGAAATGATGGTACAAGGGAAAAAAGAGATTAAAATATAATTGAGTAGAAATTTTATACTTTTAATATATAAATATATTCTTTTATAATATGTATTATTTATTGAATTATAATCTTCTTCTTTTTTTTTCCGTATATGAATAAATATTTAACTATGACAAATAGATTTGTAAATATTTAAGCAAAATGTAACAATTTCTGTAACATCTATTAAGGGTATAGTTTTATTAAGGGTATAGTTTTTTTAAGTGGTTTTAGATAACTAAAAATGTATTTTAAAAAATATTTTGAAATAAAAAAAAAGATAATTTTAAAAAATGATTGTTTAAAAAAAAAACCCCTTTATGAATAATCATTTGAAAGATGATTATCAAAAAATTGAGTCCAAAGTAATCGACATTTTTGTAGTTTAAATAGACATGACTTCTAAAGAAAATATTTAAATTAAAATGTATTGTTGATGCATAAATTTGACTTTTTAGGATTGCGTCAATATTCGCACCAATCTTCTAGAATAAAGGGATCGACGAGACCTACAAAACAGACAGTGCGACTCTTGCCATACGGACTCCGATGGGATCGGAGTAGTTGAATATAAAGTGTAGGGTATTGTGAGCATACATTAAGGGTTTGACTTGCCATTCTATTTATAGAAGTCGAACCCTAACAGCTTTAGGAGATTTGAACTTCTGGCTCCAAGGTCGAGATAAGGTAAACTTGGATCGGGTTGCGGAGGGGGGGGGGATCGGGAGAGAACCATCGGGGTTCTCGGTGGGGGGTCGAGAACTCCTCGACGCTGAGAAGGTCTCGGCGTCGAACCCAAGTCGGCTATGGTCGACTCGGGTGGCTGGGTTTTGGCCTCCTTACCTGGTGAGCCCGCTCCTCTCCCGACCCAACTCTGTCTTATGCTCGTCTAATCTGATCTATAACAGGTATAACAAATTTATCTTCAAAATGTTACTATAGTAATCTTCTCACCTTTAAGCTTCAAATCCTCATTCTACTTGTATATTCTAGGGAAGAAAAAGGTGACTTAATTGGTAAATTTTAGGAATATATAGATGATTAAAAAACAACCACAAAGAGTTCAAATTTCTCGACCCTCATCTACATTTTCTCAAAAAAATAAAAGCTAAACCAAGAAACATATTTACAAAATTTAAATGGGTAAAACCATTGAATAATTTAAATAATTATAGAATCAATGGTAATTTGATAATAATTGTTATCTAGTTTTTTTTTTTAATTTTTTTAATCATGCTTGTTTACTAATAATTTCTTCATTTTGTAATAGACTTTTAAAAATATTTATAAAATTCTAGTCCAATTGACACATTTTTTAATAATGCTAAATTAAAAACTTATTTGCAAAATATACATCTCAAGAGACGACCTATTGTGGCTTCATGATTTCCTGTATGACACTTTGGTGTTGTTTTTTGGTTAAATTACACTGTACCTAATATTTTAGATTTGTGTCTGATAAGTCTATGACATATTTGACATTTTATTAAAATTAAGGAACCTATGACATAAATTGACCTCTGTGTCTAATAGAGTCATAAACTTTCAATTTTGTGTTTAATAGATTTGTGGATTTTAAACCATATTAAATAGGTCAAAAAACTATTAGACACAAAATTGAAAAAGTCTAGGGACCTATTAGATTCAAAATTAAAAGTATAAGGACATATTAGACCCTTTTTAAAATTGGAGTATCTATTAGATATTTTTTGAAGTTCAGGAATTTATTAGATATAAACATAAAATTTCAGAGGCTAAACTTGTAATCTACACCTGACTTTTTTAGTAGTTGTTGATGTCAGATTCCGAATGAGGTGACACATTAGCACAAGCATGGTGTGGAGGTCTTACCAGCCCGAATTGGTACCTACGCGTCAGAACCTAGCACTAGTATCATGCTTGGTCAAATGCAATTAATATCTGAGGGTTAAGTTAAGATTCGGGTCGAATAGTAGGAACGGTGAGCAAGAACTTTGTGCAAGAGATTGCATACCCTTGAGAATGACATGACTCTGTCAGGAGGACATATTGGGAAGCATGCTTAGGGTGGCAACGTCTGTACATGTCAGCAAGATTAGGATCTTCCACACCTATAAAGATATCCTGACAGTACAATCACCTTTTAGCGTATGTTAGCGGACATTTCACTGATCGAACTTTGCCCCCGGTAAGAGTCGAAGATAAGCGTTGTTTTTTGGTTTTTTAAGGTGTGAAAGAAAGTGAAACTTAAAAGAAATTATTCACATATGCGTTGTGAATATTATTCTTATTTATTATTAGAGTGGTTTTGTTTATTTAGTTTATTAAATTTTAAGTTATTCCATTATTTTGTTAAAGTTACAAATATATGTGTTAAAGTTACCTATGTAACATATGTAAAAATGTTACATACGTGTTTAATTTTGAGTGGGATGTTACTTATTTGTACAACTATATATAGTTGTGGATTTCTTCATTTTGAGATATCTAAGCGTACCTCAATTGAGTATTCTCCTCCTCTCACAAGAATTCTCTCTTCTTTTTGAGTTCTTCTTCTTGTTTGTGTTGAGAGCAAGTGTTTAAGAGTTCTGCCAGATCAGAGTAGTTCGAGGTTGCAGTTCTATCGGAGTTAGTCGTTGTATCCTGCTGAGACGATCGTTGTAGTCTGCTAGCAACTTGTGCAGAGCGAATAATTGTCTTCAGGTTAGCGCTATTGAAGCATGCCTCGACTATTTTGATCAAGTTGTCAAGATTTATAATTGTTTGTAGCCAGTTACGTTGTAAATTGTTGCTAGTATTATTTAGTTTACATATTCACCGTATATTTACCCAACAATCTGAAGACAATTATTCATGGCTGCAAACACTTCTACCAACACTCCTTCGATGATGGGATCGACCATTGTCAAATCTCATGCTGAAAAACCAGAGAAGTTCAAGGGAGAAAACTTCAAAAGATGGCAACAGAAGATGATCTTCTACCTCACCACCCTAAATCTTACTCACATCTTAAAGGAGGTATGCCCAACTACTCCCCTAGAAGCAATCACGCCTGAAACTGAAGCTGCCAAGCAAGCGTAGTTACATTCAGACTTTCTATGTCGCAACTACATCCTGAGTTGCTTGGATGATACCTTGTATAATGTCTACTGCAATGCCTTTGATACTTCAAGGCAATTGTGGGAGGCATTAGACAAGAAGTATAAGCTGGAAGATGCTGGTACTAAGAAATTCCTTCATGGAAAATTATTAGATTATAAAATGGTTGATACCAAGTTGGTAGTCAACCAGTTGGAAGAATTGCAAATTATCATCAGTGATTTGCAAAGTGAAGGATTGGTTATTAATGAACCATTCCAAGTTCCTACTGTGATTGAGAAGTTGCCTCTTGTTTGGAGAGAATTCAAATGTTATCTTAAACACAAGCGAAAGGAGTTGTTCATGGAGAATCTTACTGTGAAACTCTGCATTGAAGAGGACAATATAAAGGGAGACAAAGAGCCACGTAAAGTTGAAGCTAATGCCTATATTGCTGAAGCTTCAAGGCGTCATCCAAAGAAGAATCAATTCAAGACAAAGAATGTGAATCTTTGGCCAAGGAATGATGCTAATAAGCGCATTTGTGCAATCTGTTGGGTTTGTGGCAAGAGTGGCCATATAGCTGTAAACTGTAGACACAAGAAGATGACAACAACCAAGCCAACACTATGGAAGATGACAATTTAATTGCTGTCATCTCTGAGGTAAATATGACATTTGATACCAAAAGCTGGTGGATGATACTGGTGCTACTAGGCACGTCTGTGGGGACAAATCACTATTCACCACTTATGAGAAGCTAGATGGCAGTGATAAACTGTACATGGGAAATGCTTCAACAGCCTTAGTGGACGGTAGAGGAAAAGTCCTGCTGAAATGGACTTCTGGAAAGATACTTACCCTCACTGATGTGTGGCATGTGCCAGAGATTCGAAAGAATCTTGTGTCAAGAGCCCTATTAAACAAAAATGGGTTCAAACTTGTATTTGAGTTAGATAAGTTTATACTTACTAAGGAAGGTATGTATGTGGGAAAATGTTATCTAAATGATTGGCATGTTTAAATTGAATGTATTGGCATAAGTGTCCAAGAATAATAATAATAATAACTCTTCTACTTATATTGTTGAGTTGTGTGATGTATGACATTCTAGGCTGGGGCATGTCAACTATCGTTCTTTACAGAGAATGGTAAGTTTAGGACTGTTGCCTAATTTTAACATTGATAATAAACACAAATGTGAAGTTTGTGTTTAATCAAAGTTTTCTAGAAAGTCATTTTCATCTGTGGAAAGAAGTATTGAGTAACTTGATTTAATCCACAGTGATGTATGTGACTTAAAAAGTACTCCCACAAGAGGTGGTAAGAGATACTTTGTCACATTCATTGATGATTGTAGTAAATATTGTTATGTATATTTATTACATAGTAAAGATGAGACCTTAGATGTT